AATCCTGGATTACTTCTAGAGAATGGAACCTTATAAAATATATATTTGTGTGTTTCGAATTAAACAAAATTAAATATTTAAATTTGTTGGAATATTTATTTACCAGACAATAGAAATTAGATAACTTTCAGCATAGTTACCAACTAGCTTGTGTTTAATAAAGAAAACAGAATTATGTGCTGAATGTAGTAGAAACAAAGCTGCAGTGTTTCATTTACATCTTTTTTGCTTAATCACCTTTTAGTTACTCTGTGCTTGTGGCTTGTGGCTGATGTTCATAGAACCTGTGAAGTGAACTTTAAAAAGAGAACTCAAATAACTCCGAGCAAACAATGGGCAGTGAAAATGGCTCACTCCAAACAATGAAAAACATGTCAGAACAATGCTGCCATTTGAGCTCCGGAAGACTGAAACACAGTTTTTCCCATACTGGTATTTTATAAACTTCTAGTTTTTACTCTTAAATGAAGTCAAAGCAAATTGTTTTTATATTTCCCTAACTTTGTGGCATTTTATAATCTACCTACCAACCTTTTTAAAAACAAAATTTCACCGTGTTTGTAAAATAAAGAACCTCATATGATTTTAACATGAGTAAAACACATTCTTTTTTTGAAAAAAAAAAAAATGGTATCAAAGTTCAAAATATATTTTATTACTATACATGGGTATGTATAGTAACAAAATGTATTTCATTACTATATTCAGAAGAAAAGGATTGTCTTACGACGTCACTCTTTTGCCCGAACATACAGAGAATTGTATGAGAGATTGTCACATGTACACAGCCAGTACTTTTAGGAAATTCTTTCAGTGTTGCTGTCAGCCTCTTGGGAGCTCCCCCTACCTGCTTCTGTTTGATCATTCCATCAGTTTTAGATAAATGTTCAATTTTTGGAATCCTTTAGCTAAAGGATGCAAATGTTAGTTACATTAATTTTATTTCAGGTTAATCAGATTCACTGTAAGTGGGTGGTACATTATGGTTTTTATCAGTATCAGCAGTTTGTCAGAATGAGTTGTAAAACACAGTACATGCAAATTAAATTCCAATGTACAATTTGAATGACTGATGCACTGTCATTTATTTATGTAACAGGTTGAGAAAGTGTAACAGTTTAACACCTATAGATCTCTACAGCTTTTCATTTCAAAAGGGCACTTTTAACTCTTTGTTGCTAAAAGAACCTGAAAACTTTGACCTAAAAGAATTTAATCTATTGTTGAACAGGAATTTGCTTGGCATGTAGATTCTATGTATCACAAAAATAACCAGCTTTCAGTTATTATTAATGTAGTTTGCTGTAGAAGAAAAGTTTTAAAAATAAGCATGTTTTTTGTGAGCAGTTGCACTGTCACTCAACATATCATGGCCGAACCTGTAGCACAAGATAGAGACACCACTGTGTGACATTTGAGTGCCGGAAATAGAGCGGATGTTTGGTTCAGGGTGACAACTGGGTGCTGGAGCTTCACTATGGAAGAAGTTTAGAGCTTTTTAAGCTGCAAAGTCATTATTGACAGTCTGCTGCTATAGATATATTAACCACAAAGAGGTAACTGTTCTGATGCATACTTTTGACATTTTTATTTTCTGGTTTCTTTAAATTTTCAAATATCGAATAAAAATTTGATTATACTTATTCACTTGCTGTTTTCGGAATACTCAGTGATGCACTTCCTCATTCCTCAGTAACTACAGTAATTACTGTTGTGACCCTGCACTTCCTCTGGGTGGACTGGGAGACATTAACAGCACAATTTCAAAAGTCTCCAGACTTTGTGTTATTTGGACAAATTTCCTGTTTGCTTTGACTGATATTAATTGTACAGAAAGAGCAGTAGGTTTAGGGAACCTTGTTTAAATCCTGTATTTAAACGTAGTTTAAATAAGCAGGATTTAAATAAGTAACCTTTTGGAATGGTGAACTTTTTTTATCTTCCTTTAGTCAAACTAGCTCTGCGCAGACAGGATTCCATACTCCCAGCTGAATCATAGCTGGGAGTATACGGATGTCTGAAATGCCCTTTTATGGTATTTTTGGGCCTTTAAAAAAACAGGAAGAGGCATTGGGTCATCTGATCTCAAAAGAAACATGTCATTTGAGAGCTGTGGAAGTTCAGGTTTGTCTCATTTCAACAACACTTGCACCAATATTCAAAATAGCTAAATAACTGAGTAAATATCCAGTATAGACAAACAAGTAAATTGATGTAACTGAGCTAGAACAAATGGATATTTTGCAGCAAGTTGGTAGCTTTGGGTCTGATTCTGTTTGAAAAATACATTTCAAGATTTGTAGGAGTAAAGTCTCTGGTTTCATACGGACATGTTTTCTTTGAGTGAGGTGTGCCAATATGGACAACCGCAACTTGCATAATTAAAAATAAGAGCAGAAATATGTATATTTTTTATGCTTTTCCTTATGAATGTTTTCATCAAGAAATGTTTATATTTATTGATGCCCACACATTATGTATGAGCATCCACATAGTACTGCACCGATTATGCTCATTAAACTATTTTAAAATTGGTAAGAAAGCTGGCTGGACTCCCAAATAAATAGCTTGACTATAATTTCCAGCAAAATCAGATGTTTCATTCCTAGTATTACTAAAGAAAGAGCAGAATGGTAGCTCACAATCGGTTGTACTTATTTGCACAAGTCTATGGATTAAACTCAAAATAACTATAAATGAAAGGCAGTTAGCATTATTATAACTATTATAAATAAATATACTATTCCAGCAAGATGAACTATTTGTGCTTTTCTATGTTGATTAAGGCAAGTTATTGATAATTATTGATTTTTGTTTTAAACTTTTATATTAATACTTTGAAACTCCAATATTTTTACTTCATTGTTGAAATGTAATGAGGTTGTAGTACTGCTACAAAGAGAGGCCAAGACATTATTTTGCAAGTCACAAGTTGGTCTCAAATGAAGTCATAAGTTTTAACATAAACTGTAAAGACTTTTCTTTTCAGAATAAACTTTATTGGCCAAGTTTGTGTGAAATTTAACTTTCGTTTGACATGCTCACAGCATACGCATGTTAAATATAAATATGAAAACCAGAGTTTTCTCCAGAAATGAGGTGCCCTGACCACCTAGTTAAACCTGGTGGTCGGGGCACCGAGGAGATCCGCAGACGGCTCACTGTGTTTTTGTATTAAAAGATGTTAAGTTAAGAAATTTAAAATATTACTGGGTAATTATATTATTGGAAGACCTTACTGACAATTCCCAAACACACAACTTGGCATATTAAAAACAAGAAATGGAAAAAAATAATACTAAAATATCAGTTATTTGCGCTTCTGATAAATCCAAATTAAGTCATCAGGCAGTCAGTAGATCTAAAAACATGATGCAATGCTGATCACATGTGGAACCAGCCCATGGCAAAAATGAACTAAGCAGCTGCTTATGCCCCCCCAGGCCTTCAGGGGCCCCATTTTAACACAGACCACAGATATAGGTATGTAACATTTATTTATTGAGAATATCAATGCTGTTAAATTTGATTTAATAGTTTGAGCATAGATAAATTAAAAGATTTTAAATTGTGTAATATTTAAATTTAAAACTTTAAGGAGCTGGCAATTTTTTTTGTAAAAATCCAAAGAACAATCTTCATAGTTAGATTGTTTTGTTACCACAGCTACAATCTGATGCTATAAGTTTGAGTTTTGTCTGTCCACAAATGGATCTCAGAAAACTACAATTATCACTCATTACTTTTAAGGTTGGCCAATTAAACTAGAATTTACTAAATTTGTCTTCAAATGCTGTTAGTGGTGCTGATGTTCCTAGCAGGAAGAAGGATCCCTCAATCAAATTTTGCACAAGGCCTCATGCAACCTTGGACCGGCCCCGGATACAGAGGGACAAACTGGAGATTTAATTTATGTGGCTTTAGTAGCTCTTCCATTTCGTGTCTATTGAGTTTTTAATAAGCGCCAGAGACTTTTTTGGTTGCCCAAGCTTTGTGAGACTAGTTTTCCTGATGTATGCGTGGTCGCACTTCAACTCTGCCTGAAAGAACTTGATATGGTGCATTTGATGCATCGTGTCACCACCAAAAATAAAATAAGATAAAATAAAAATTAAACCAGACAGCGCAACATCTCCTCTATGGGCTGAACCACTGGTCCACTAACCAGTGAGCACATCTTTAAACTTTATCAGTGCAAACACAGTCAGTGTGTTGAGATGTAAACTCACATGGGACACATAATGTTTTGTTCACAAAGATACATCATTCTCACTGCACACTCAATGCACACTTCTAAACACGCGATATTTGCAGTTCACATTGAGCTTTGGAAGCAGAGCAAACACAGTGGTTTTTAAACTTGACTCATACCTTGGGGCAAGTAAAGCCTGGTGGCCCGCCAGGCTTGTAATACACTGGGGGAAACCCTGTAAACATTGGAGGAGGTTAAATATAAGAACAATGTGTATGTACATATATTTTTTGTGGTACTTCAAATATGTATATTTAGTTTGACAGTGGAGGATCTGACCACTCTGTCTATAGGGTGCTCATTGTGTTAATCAGAGAGACAGGCTGGATGGAGATGAGGTCAGCCCTGATGGCCATCTGCATACCTGATTGATCAGTGCAGTTTGGTCCTGTCCTGTTTTGTGGATGAGACAAACCACACAGTGATGGACAATAACACAACAGACTAAGTAATGAGAGTGTAGAAGATGACCAGCAGCTGCAAAGGAAGGAGGGGGTAAGGGGGCCTCATGTTGCCCCCACAAGATGCTGCCCTGGCGGTTGCCCATGTTGCCCATACCAGAAACTGCTACTGTAGATATATATAAGCAAATATCTAAAACTAAATATTTTAGCAATGTAGATTTAAGCAACATTACTTTTACCGCTAGCTGGTGAGGAAGCTATTTTGAATTGAAGCTTTATGTATGTCACACTTGCATTTGTACCTATTCATACTAATTATAGCATGGTTTCCATTTTTCTTTTAGGACGTGTCCAACCCCCAACTTCAACATCTGACTGGACAGTCTGTAACACAGTGGTTATCTTCAGGTATTTATTTCAGTGCTCTGAACTTTGAATATGCAAGTAATGAGCAAAACAGAAATTAATAGGAAATACAATTCTGTAATTTATTTTATTGCAGACAGTATCAACATGAGATGTTTGATCTTGTTTGAACTTTTTTACATGGTATACAATTTGTTTATCTCAGGTCCACAATACAGAATATTAAAAAGATGGCACAACAGATCCTGTACCTCTTTGTAATGTTTTCATGGCTCTTAACAACACTTTACCATGATGTGGCATCGGGGATATCAAGAGATAAACTGCCTTCTGGTTTATGTCTTTTCTTTTATGTCACTGTACGTACAGTGACAGGAACAAAAGAAGAGCAGAACTAACTTGTCATTTGGTTTTTGAACACTAACAGATTCTCCTTCAGGAACCGATCAGGACAGGTCCATCAGCCCAATGCTAGGTTCTTGTCTTCCTCATCCATGCCAGCAGAATTTGGTTTCCCACCGTCTTGTTGATAAAACCTCCTTAGTGTTTCTGACCAGGGAGACCACTAGTGAGGTCAGGATATGATGTTAGAAATAGAGGGGAATTAATCTCCCCTATAATTCATTCCAAAGATGCACAATACATCAGCATCAACATCGGTATTGGCCAATGTTAATTTTTTAACATATCTGTATCGGTCTGATACCAATATTGACTGATGTTTACTTCTGTCTTGTTGCCATTTTTTTATGTAAATCAGGAGGGCAGGGAGGTTGGCTATGTGATATTTGTCCAGTCATGGAACAGATGCAGCACAGGATTATGGGACTGTTTAACAAGATCAGAAGAGCAATTCACATGGTGTCCCTAAACACAGGAAATCTATCTGGGTTTCCACTAGGTTTGAGTTATGATGACTACCAATAATGTGAGGAGAGAAAAAAAGTAATTTAAAAGGTAAAAATATGTAGGAGGCAGGAAATCCAAGCATCCCAGGTGGTTGGGCATATCAGTATCTCAAAAGGAGCCACCCCCTTATATGTGCAGCAATTTATAATAAGTGATTAAATAAGTAATATTTAATAAATATGATCTGCTGAAACGAAGTTAAAAATATTTTTTCAAGAGTACACTGAGTTGCAATCTGTGGTACTTGCATAATAATAAATGAGATTTTTTTTTATCTCATTTATTATTTTAACCTGGAAACTCAAAGTTTTACTGGGTGTGTTGTGCTTCATGTTGACACACTGGAGTAAAACTGGGAAGAGATCAATGGTTGGGTCTGGTTGGGCCCAAAGTTTGTCAGATTTATGAAACAACATCTCTACAGCTTCATCTTCAGATTCATTGGTAGTGTTTATTCTCTGGATAACTTTGACATTTTTGATTGCAAAATGACTTTCCTGGCTGACTTTTGTCTCTTCTACAGGTGTGGAGTGGGTGGCAGAGTGGAGCAGCAATCATGGTTGCCTTGTCATTAAAAATTGGTGTGGGGAATGTGGTGAAAACGATGCAGTTTGAACCCTCCACAATGGTCTATGATGCCTGCCGCATCATCAGGGAAAGAGTTCCTGAGGCACAGCTTGGCCAGCGTGAGTAACATTTCTCTTCCCCCACACATACACACACGCCCCACCCACCACTCACACAGGTGAGCTTGAATGGTTTATCTGGGATGAACTGGATGCTTAAAGAGGGACTTGTTATTGGTCATATATCTGAGCCATTTGGAGGAATTGCTGTCTGTTTTAATGAACTGGATTATTTTAGTTTGACTGGAAAATCTGTGATGTTTTTCATTGTGAAATATTCTGTGACGCATGTGCACTAAACTCACCCTTGAAGAATTATTCATTACATGTAGTAATGACTGACGGGGAGAGGCAAAGAGTCAGGAGGGAGAAAGATTCTAGGGGAGAGCGTATGCCCAAAGAAGAGAGGAAGCCATCATTCATGATAAGCAGTATGGCAACGGTGCATCACCTACTGAATTGTGCTTCCTGTGTCTTTCTTATGTGCATGTATAGTCTATAATTACACTCACCAAAAAACCCACTATGCACCAGAAATCCTTTCAAATTACAGACCCATCTCCAATTTGCCTTTCATATCCAAAGTGTTACAGAAAGCAGTTGCCATCCACCTCCAAAATCACCTAAAACTCAATAACCTCTACTTCAATCTAGTTTCTCCTACTGTCGCTCCACGTCTATAGAATGCCGTACCTGATACTCTGAGGGCACTACAATCCACTGATTGTTTTAAAAATTGCCTGAAGACATTTCTTTTTGTTAGATATTGGTTTTAATTTCTTTTATTGCTGTATCTATTTATTAAAAATATTTTATCCATTGCAATTCCTTGTTTTGTTCCTGTTCCTGCCCTTTGAGATTTAAAGATATAAAGGGCACTACAAATATAACCTATTATTATTTATTATTATTAAGTTGGTGTCATCTTTACTTTGTGGGGGGAAAAAATCCTGTAAATTAAATGTGTGCGTACCAGAGAGAAACGGAAAGAAAAAGCCTTGTCCAAAGACACTTTTCAACCTTACATTGTGGTCATGTGCTCTGGATGAGTCAAACATATTCTACATGCACCTGTAAGAAATGCTCCAGCTTTTGTTTTTTATAACTTAAACTTCTACTAAAGTAAAGTAAGTCCCTACTCCAGAGGAACTGAAAAAGACTGAAAAAGCAGCTCTCCCTTAGGATGAACAGCTGAGCCCTATTGGAAGTAGCTAAGTTACTGCCCTTCCTCTCTAAGCTAAGCTTAGGCATCTTAGTATGACTCGGGTCAAATCCAAGAGTTGTTAGAATGAACATGTGTCATGGCTTTTCAGGGAACAACTTGCTGTTTTCCTCTGGAAGAGTTAAAAGAAGAAGCTGGTGAAAGAGTGGGGGTAGTTTGGAGAATTGGGAAGACTCAGGGTTTCTATGGATTTCTCTCTCTTCTTTCTCTTCCTTCCGAATCCTTGATTAAGAGGGAGTGAAAATTAATGTTTGTTTCTTGCTCTAGCTAGTTATAGAATTAGTGTTTTGGAGTTTCTTTTGGACCTGCTTATTTTCCTTGTGAAAGTTCAGAGTAAGATCAGTAAAATGTTTAAAAAACACTCTTTGCTTCTCTACATTCGGAAGAAAACGATTCTACATTTTCGATTGTAGTCTACATCATCTGAAGTCCATGATGTTGTGTTATGTTCTGTTACACAAGCTATTTCAACATTAGCTCCCTGCACAACTTGCTCCAGCATGTAAGCTATTTTACATTAGGCTGTGAGTGAGGTACATAACACCCATGGGAAAAGCTTGTCTCTACTGGCCAGTAAATTACGCAGTCCAATTTTGTAAATGTCTTGCGCAAAGCCCTTCAAGTTGGAACTACTTATTATACATCAGCAAATGGAGAAGAAAGAGAACAATCAAATTTTTTATTTTTTTTTTAAACGCTGTTAACGGTCTGACAAAGACGAAGCTCCATTAAACTCTGTTCCTTAAACCCTAAGCAGTAATAAATGTTGCTTCCTTTCAGAGAAATGTCATCTCTTATCATTCCAACCCTGTCCGTCATGTGTCCTTTGGTACTCCAACTGCTGAATGACTGTTGGAGCTAAGTTTGGATTTGACATTGTTTTGTCTTGTTGAGCTCTCTGAGCTCACCTCCAGGTCATTTAAAATATCTTTTGTCTTTTATGCTTGGTGCCCAAATGTTGACGTGTTTTTCTTCCAGTAATTGGTGTCTCTATTTTGGATTGCATGCATTTATCATTGTGGACAAGATTCTCACCACAAGCTTTGAGGATTGCTGTAATGACATGAATAAATGACTTTGTAATTGAGCAAATGATTCCTTTGTGTGCTTTCAGCTGGGATTTAGAGTTCATCATAAAACCGGAGCAAATCACAACAGTCTCTTGTTAGATGGTGGTCTGCATGCAGTGAGCTGCGTCTAATTTTACTGCTGCATTGAGATTACAACATTATTTTATAGAATCTTGAGCAAGTCTTTGGAATTTAAAGAACATCACTTATTAAACTGTTTATTTCATGAATTTCTTGAAAATCTTTTGTGCATTAGTGGCTTAAGCAAAGTTCTTTGTTTTCAGCTTTAACTACTCAACCAAATGTTGCTCAGCTTTTCTTATCCATAAAACTAGAATCAAGAATCCACTTGTTAGACTGCAATCTTACCCTAAAGTCAAGACTTTCGGTAACACTTTGACGGGGTGTGCATGAGACTGATTTGACACCGTCATAAACATGACATAGCACTTCTCATGAACATGAACGAGTCTTTATGAATGTCTATGATGAAGTGTCATTCGGTAAATAATGACACTTTTAATGCAAAGTTGCTTTAAAAGTTGCATTAAACGCCCATTAGAAGTGCTAACTTTTCATTAAAGTGTTGATACAAAATAATGCAAAATTGACATGACTTACACTTCACGACGACAGACATTCATAAAGACTCCTTCATGTTCATAACAGATGTTATGTCATGTTTATGACTGTGTGTAATGTCAGTCTTATGCACAGCCCTTCAAATAAAGTGTTAACAGACTTTCTGTTTTATTTTATTTTATTTTCCACAGTTTATTCAACGGTTTTGTGTTCTGATATGAACACATTAAAAACCACAATGGCATACAGAACATTGAAAATGTTTCTGATTATGATTCTACACCCTTGAATTTTCATATCATTAGGTTTAGAGAAATCCTCTAGTCTGAATTCCTGGCTATTGTAGCTCCTCAGATCCCTGGTTTACCTCTGTTCTGAGGCGTTTTAGACCAACTCGCTTTGCTGCAGCTTTTTAAAAAGTGAATGAGGCATTTCAAGCCTCATTCACTTTTCACTAGGGGGGGAAAGTGATGACAATTCTAGGGGCCCTGACCAACAGGGGGCCCTCCACAATTTATTTATTTATTTTTTGTTCATAGAAATAAAATAAAAAAAAATTGGGGCCATATCAATTACAAAATTAATCATATTGTATTTTCAAAGATTGTTTTTAGCAGTAAAAATTTAATGTTCCCTCTCCCAGATCAAAAAACACACATCCATATTTGTGCATTACTTTAACCAGCAATAACAGTTCAGGAAGGAGATGGAGGAGATTAATTGTTTTCACAGATTATCTGTCTCATAACAAACGGCTTTAATAAATATGGAGAAAACATATTTTTTTATTAAAGTTAAATACTGCAGCTTGAATAAAATGCAACTACCGTAAATAGCATTTTTGAGAAGTCTGGATTGCTTTATGTGTAGTTGCATGTTGCTTTTGATTCTCATGGGGAGAGACATTTCAGTAATCTAAAACTAATAGAAAAAAAATTAAGCAACCTACTTACATACTGGATGTGGACTGTTGGATGTTAAATTCATGAGCAGTAAATATGGTGCTAATTATTGAACCAAAGAAAGCAAGGCAGATGCAAGCCTTTAAAATTGTGATGCTTTTTATGGGTTGAAATAGTCTCAAAAAACTGTAACAGCAGCTGTGTGGGGGGCAGTTGCTGTCAGGGGGCCCCCTGACACATTTTTTGTCAGGGGGCCCCCGATTCCTGGTGGCGCCCCTGCTTCCTTCTACATCACTCCTGAATTGAATAAGTGGATGATCAACAGTATTCAGCAGCACTTGATGACATGCAGAAGAGGCAGTGCAACCACTTGAATCAGGTGTTCTGGAGCAGACACATCTAAAACATGGGACCTTAGGACCGGTACAGAGGAAAAACTGCTCTATTATGTTCAAGCTACAATCTCTCTGTTTTGCTATTAAACTGATTTAGAACTTGTACATAGAAGTGGAAGGCAGATCATTCAGTTAACACACTGCTGTAATATACTTGTAGCACAAGCACATTATCTTCATAGTAGCTTGATGTTTCAATCTGCAGCTTCATCAGTTTTAACATTTCTTTCTTTCTATAGCCAATGACTATGGGCTGTTTCTGTCTGACGAAGACCCAAAAAAAGGCATCTGGCTGGAGGCTGGGAAGGCCCTGGACTACTATATGTTAAGGAATGGGGTGAGTGGCAGTGAACACTGAACAGAGGTTGCAAGACATCTCCGGTGTGGCTTAAATATGGCTCAATAATTCTTTAATTTTATTGAGTTTCCTGCTGAGAGGGGCTCAGATGGAGTTCTTCTGTGTAGCTGATTTTTACCAACTATCAACCACTCCTTTCTCTGGTAGGACACCTTGGAATACAAGAAGAAGCAGAGGCCTCTGAAAATCCGCATGTTAGATGGCACAGTAAAGACTGTCATGATAGACGACTCCAAGATCGTCAGTGACATGCTCATGACCATCTGTGCTAGAATAGGTCAGTTCTTTTATAATGTCATGTTTTTATCTGAAGAACCCTCATCTTGTTTACAATAATTTCTGTCTTATCTGCAGGCATATCGACCACAAGTTAAAGACAAAACTGAAATTAACTCAAACCTGTGTTTGTCTACCAGGTATAACAAATTATGATGAGTACTCATTGGTGCGAGACATTGGTGAGGAAAAGAAAGAAGAAACCACAGGAACACTGAAAAGAGACAAGACTCTCCTAAGAGATGACAAGAAGATGGAGAAGTTGAAGCAGAAACTCCACACAGACGATGAGTGTAAGATTCACAGGGGGCTCACAATCCTATGCAAAAAGGGCATCTGTCAAAAGGTCCTTAAAAAGTCTGAAGGTTGGGGTGCTGTGGTGGTACAGGGGTTAAGCACAGTCCACATATGGAGGCCTTAGTCCTCGATGCTCAATTCCTGGCCTGGCAATCCTTGCTACATGTCTTCCCCCTTCTCTTATTACACACTTTCCTGTCAATTCACTGTCAAATAAAGGCCACTAGAGCCAATAAAACCATTTAAAAAAGTCTAAAGCCTAAAAGCCTTCATTATTGGTTAACCTACTGTTTAAACATAAAGTTAAAACTCTGCATTTAAATGTTCAAAATGTTGTAAAAAATTCAGGAAACAATATCTGAAAGGTGTAGGATTTTGTAAGAAACAAATTAAGAACCCTGTGATCTACATTTACTTCTTGATTTCTGGATGTTATTTATTATCTAACAAAAATGATTATTTTGTTAGTGAACTGGTTGGACCATGGGAGGACACTGAGGGAGCAGGGTGTGGAAGAGACAGAGATGTTGCTGTTGAGAAGAAAGTTTTTCTACTCAGACCAGAATGTGGACTCCAGAGACCCTGTTCAGCTTAACCTACTTTATGTACAGGTAATTGAGAACATACAATCTTTGCTTTAATTTATTTCTTATTCAGCTTGATGAGGTTGACACTACTTGCTCATGCATCAGGGTTAGTCTAAATACAGCATGTTTGTTTTATCAATGATGATGTTGCCTGATGTTGCTCTCCGGATTAATCCTAAATTTCTACTGTGTGTGTGTGTGTGTGTGTGTGTGTGTGTGTGTGTGTGTGTGTGTGTGTGTGTGCGCGTGCGTGCGTGCATATAACAGGCTCGTGATGACATCCTGAATGGATCACATCCAGTTTCATTTGACAAAGCCTGTGAGTTTGCGGGCTACCAGTGCCAGATTCAGTTTGGTGATCACAATGAGTCCAAACACAAGCCTGGATTCTTAGAGTAAGCACTGGCCTCATGTTTTATTCAGTTGTCTTTCTTTTGGTTTCATCATTTTGATGTTTTGATGGTCCTTTGAAATCCCGGTAAAGTCATGCTGCTTTGTTTGATCGTGGTTGAACTGTTTTCTTCTCAGTTTAAAGGAGTTCCTGCCTAAGGAATACATTAAAAATAAAGGGGAGAAAAAAATCTTCCAGGTAAGACGATCTGTGGAGGTTTAGAAGTCTGTTTTGACTAAAAAAGGCTCATACAGGTTAAATAATATCTTATCTTTCAAGATGTACCCCCTGACAACTGAAAGAGAAAACATGCTGCATGAGTCATTAAACTAAATGTGAAGGTTTCCTTTATGCAGCGGTGAGCTAATTAATGCACTTCTGTTCTTCCTGCTTCTGCAGGCACATAAAAACTGTCAGAACATGACAGAGATTGAGGCCAAAGTCAGCTATGTGAAGCTGGCCAGGTCTTTGCAAACCTACGGCGTCTCGTTCTTCCTGGTTAAGGTTAGTGGAAAATCACTGTTTTGTTTTTCTTCTGCTGCCTAAATCTACACAAAAATGACTGATTCTTCTACAGGCTATAACACTCTACTTCTAACGTGCTTCCAGTGAACTGAGGTCATGTGCCTTTTAATTCAATTGTAGGCTGGATGATTTTAGTGGCAGTTTTAAAAATACCAAACTGTTTGTAGCAGCAGGGCAGTAAAGTCATGCGACTGACCATGTAACTTGTTGATGGTCAAGTTCCAAACTTTAGATACTCTCATCTCAAATGTTAACAATTCACATCTGTGTGAGTCCATCCTCAGTTAGTCCTTTTAATGTAAGTGGGACTTTAAAGGGGAGCTGAATATCTGATTTTTTTTGCTTCCCTCAAAAGATACAGTCAGAGTAAAGAGACAGGACATCCCCTTTAAATTCCACCCTGTTTTCTATTTTGTGTGTTTTCAGTAAGGCAAGAAAGGACAACTGTCATTTTTTCCCTTCACTTTTACCATCTTCTGTTTCCATTGTTTTTACTTATTTAAGATAAGTAAAAGCTTATCTCTAATTCATTCTTAGAGATCATTTTCTCTCTCCTCCCCCACAATCAACCAATTATGATTTGTCTGCTTTCAGTAAGAATATTCTGCTTTTCTTGATTCGTTGCAGGAAAAAATGAAAGGCAAAAACAAACTGGTCCCTCGTTTGCTGGGAATCACCAAGGAGAGCGTAATGAGAGTAGATGAGAAGACCAAGGAGGTCATCCAGGAGTGGAGTCTGACAAACATCAAACGCTGGGCTGCGTCACCCAAGAGCTTCACTTTGGTGAGTTTTCCTGTCAACAATTTTTAATTATTACTCTGCACGTAAATAAGATGACAGCCCAAGAGGTTGTTAGAAAAGTAGATTAGGATTAGCAGTGTAACTTCTGACGGGACAGAAAATCCACTGGCATGTTCTGTGAACCTGGGATGTAGGCTGCCTTGAGGTGGGCCAAGTATGGAGCTGCCCGTGTCAGAATCCATTGAGTCAATCACAGTCACAGCAGTTTCCTGGACCTGGACCCCCCCTGGTGGTTGATGTGAAAAACCACAGAGGTGTTGTCTGACCTCACCAGCACATGCTTCCCCCCTAAGCCTGGAAGAAAGCTCCGGAGAGCGAGAAACACAGCCTGCAATTCCAGGAAGTTGATGTGTTCCCGGCACTGCCGCGGGGACCATGTCCCCTGTGCCACTTGACCCCGCCATGTTGCACCCCAGCCCGTGGAGGATGCATCCGTGAACACAACTTCCCGACGACACGGGAGGGAACCCAGCGGGACCCCTTGTGTCATGAACGACTTCACCCTCCACTGGGACAGAGACTGAAGACACTGAGGGCCCACCCGAAGCCTCCTGCCGCGATGAGCGTACCTTGTGGAGTCCAGATTCAAGGTGTTCAACCACATCTGGAGGGGCCGCAATGACAGCAGCCCCAGGGGTACTACGGCGGATGCTGCCGTAAGCATGCCCAGGAGTCGAAGATACCGCACAAGAGGTGGTGCCATGCCCCGCCTGAATTCTGGGAGCATGCCCAATATACCGCTCACCCGCTGGGGCGACGGGCAAGAAGTCATCGAGACGGAATTCAGTGCCATGCCCAGGAAGACGGTCCCCTGGGAGGGAGTCAAATTGCTCTTCTTCATGTTCACCTGCAAGCCCAAACATTCCACATGATGGAGCACTAACCGAGTATTCCGAATCGCCTGTTCCCGTGACGTGGCACAAATGAGCCAGTCGTCCAGGTACGGGAGGATCCTCAATCCTCGTCTCTGCAGAGGAGATAGAGCTGCTGCGACACATCGGGTGAACACTCTGGGGGACAGCGAAAGTCCGAAGGGGAGGACCCTGAACTGGAAGTGTCTCCCCTGAAAGGCAAAACGAAGAAACCGCCAATGGGGCGGAGCGATGGGAACATGAAAATAAGCATCCTTGAGATCTATGGAAGTAAACCAATCGCCCGGGGAAATGACTTGCAACACTTCCTTTGTGGTCAGCATATGAAAGGGCATTACCTTCAAGTACACATTCAGGCCCCTGAGGTCCAAGACCGGACGTAGACCCCCAGTCTTCTTGGGAACCAGAAAGTACATGGAATAAAAGCCCCCTGGATCCCGCAGGGGGTCCACCGGCACTATAGCACCCTTGTCCAGCAGTGTGCAGATCTCCTGGTTCAGTGCCTGTGCTTTCATCGGGTCGCAGATCACAGTCATCCTGACCCGGCCAGGGACGGGCGGCCGGCGGCGGAATTGAAGGCGGTACCCCTGGGACAGGG